AAGTGACAGCAGCAGTCATTTCCAGTGTTCTCATTTAATAGATTTAATATTTTCTAGACTAAAGAAATCAGATAAACTTGCCAGAATACTTTGTTCTTGAGTACCTACAATTTATTAGCTTTGAAACTGACTGGCTTATGAAGGTAACGAAATACAGCCTTTCACTGAGCTCAGATCTCCAGGCAGAGGTGTTGTTTCGGAGTAAAAGCTCTGATTTTAATGAGATACCTCTAGTTTGAACACTACCTGTATGGTGAGTGATAACACTGGCAGATCCTTGCTGTATTCACAATGGAAACCAGCACACAGTGCTCGATGTGTGTAGACATGTGATAACCTGCATCCCGGCACTGTAGATGGTAAAACGGGGGACTCACAGCTTGCCAAAATAAACACTTCCAAGTTTACAGACTCTTGTGTTGTATTTTGAACAAAATCAAACAGGATTGTTTAATTTTTTGTGTTTATGTACGTTTTGAGGTCGGTTTAGAAATTTAGGGGGCAGTGGGGTAGCCAGGTGGTTAAAGCGGTCACTCATAGACCTCAAGCGAAGACCCCGGGTTCGATTCCCCACATGGGTACAATGTGTGAAGGCAATCAACCACCGTGATATAGCTGAAATATTGCTAAAAGCAGCGTAAAACTAAACTCACTCAATCACCCACTTCATAAATAGAACGTTATGGATGATCACAGAGTATCAGATTCCTGACATAAGAAAATTGATGAGGTTGTCAGGCTTGGTAATTTGGTTGATCGGGTACCATTATAAAGGTGAAAAACTGTGTCAGCTCCTTGTTTGTCTGGTCCAAGCTTTATTATATACAGGCTGCCATCACATTGCAGGTATATTTCTGAGTGCAGTTAGCATCTACACCGAAATGTTAGATCTGTTGCAATAAAGAAACTGTCAATCCACAAAACTTCTTCTTCTACAAGAATCAGGGTGGGGTAGCCTAGTGGGTAAAGCATTGGCTCGTCACTCAGAAGACCCGGGTTCGATTCCCCACATGGGTACAATGTGTGAAGCCCATTTCTGGTGTCCCCTGCCGTTGCTGAAATATTGCCAAAAGTGGCGTAAAACCAAACTCACTCACTCAATAGCAATTATGTTCATGAAACTGCATCTTGCCATTCCTTTGTTATTGATCTGATGACATTACCTGGTGTGTATTGAATTGTATGATGGTTTGATCTGAACCTTTTGAACATTGATCATCTATGTCAAAGTTGAAGGTCATAGCATCAAAAAAGTATATAGATCCTGATAAATGTTATCCTTAGGATACACCTGAGATTACTGTAGTGAATTGAAACTAGGTGCATGACACTGAAGTGGCAGTGATTTTAAAACCTTGTGACCTTCTTTTGAGTTCAGAGTCTCTGAAATAATTCTTAACATATCTCTGCCTCTGTGGACAACCACACAGACTGCACTGTAACAGGATGAGGTATTCTGACATAAAAATGTCAGTATAATTTAACTTTTTAGGATGGTCTGTCTCTACCTCCAGTGACACTGATAAACAGCTGTCATCACTATCACTGTCCCAAGATTAGCTGCCTCCGCCTTCAGGTGCACAGACACTCAGTTGTCATCACTACCACTGTCCCAAGATTGACTGCCTCCGCCTTCAGGTACACAGACACTCAGCTGTTGACACTACCACTGTCCCAAGATTGGCTGCCTCCGCCTTCAGGTGCAAGGACACTCAGCTGTCATCACTGTAACTGTCCCAAGATTGGCTGCCTTCACCTTAAGGTGCACGGACATACAGGGGACATCACTGTAACTGTCCGGGATTGGCTGCCTTCACCTTAAGGTGCATGGACACACAGGTGGCATCACTGTAACTATCAAGGATTGGATGCCTTCGCCTTCAGGTGCATGGACACACAGGTGTCATCACTGTAACTGTCCAGGATTGGATGCCTCCGCCTTCAGGTGCATGGACATACAGGTGTCATCACTGTTACTGTCCAGGATTGGCTGCCTCCGCCTTCAGGTGCATGGACATACAGGTGTCATCACTGTCACTATCCAGGATTGGCTGCCTTCACCTTAAGGTGCATGGACATACAGGTGTCATCACTGTAACTGTCCGGGATTGGCTGCCTTCACCTTAAGGTGCATGGACATACAGGTGTCATCACTGTAACTGTCCGGGATTGGCTGCCTCCGCCTTCAGGTGCATGGACACACAGGTGGCATCACTGTAACTGTCCGGGATTGGCTGCCTCCGCCTTCAGGTGCACGAACATACAAGTGTCATCACTGTAACTGTCCAGGATTGGCTGCCTTCGCCTTCAGGTGCACGGACATACAGGTGTCATCACTGTAACTATCAAGGATTGGATGCCTTCGCCTTCAGGTGCACGGACATACAGGTGTCATCACTGTAACTGCCCCAAGATTGGCTGCCTCCGCCTTCAGGTGCACGGACATACAGGTGTCATCACTGTAACTATCAAGGATTGGCTGCCTCCGCCTTCAGGTGCACGGACACACAGGTGGCATCACTGTAACTATCAAGGATTGGCTGCCTCCGCCTTCAGGTGCACGGACACACAGGTGGCATCACTGTAACTGCCCCAAGATTGGCTTCCTCTGCCTTCAGGTGCACGTACATACAGGTGTCATCACTGTAACTGTCCGGGATTGGCTGCCTTCACCTTAAGGTGCATGGACACACAGGTGGCATCAGTGTAACTATCAAGGATTGGCTGCCTCCGCCTTCAGGTGCATGGACACACAGGTGTCATCACTGTAACTGCCCCAGGATTGGCTGCCTCTGCCTTCAGGTGCACGTACATACAGGTGTCATCACTGTAACTGCCCCAAGATTGGCTGCCTTCACCTTAAGGTGCATGGACACACAGGTGGCATCAGTGTAACTATCAAGGATTGGCTGCCTCCGCCTTCAGGTGCATGGACATACAGGTGTCATCACTGTAACTGTCCAGGATTGGCTGCCTTCACCTTAAGGTGCATGGACATACAGGTGTCATCACTGTAACTGTCCAGGATTGGCTGCCTCTGCCTTCAGGTGCACGTACATACAGGTGTCATCACTGTAACTGTCCAGGATTGGCTGCCTTCACCTTAAGGTGCACGTACATACAGGTGTCATCACTGTAACTGTCCGGGATTGGCTGCCTTCACCTTAAGGTGCATGGACACACAGGTGGCATCACTGTAACTATCAAGGATTGGCTGCCTCCGCCTTCAGGTGCATGGACATACAGGTGTCATCACTGTAACTGCCCCAAGATTGGCTGCCTCCGCCTTCAGGTGCACGGACACACAGGTGTCATCACTGTAACTGCCCCAAGATTGGCTGCCTCCGCCTTCAGGTGCACGGACACACAGGTGTCATCACTGTAACTGTCCGGGATTGGCTGCCTCCGCCTTCAGGTGCACGGACACACAGATGGTATCACCGTAACTGTCTGGGATTGGCTGCGTCCGCCTTCAATTGCATGGACAAACAGCTGTTATCACTGAAACTCTCCAGGTTTGGATGCCTCCGCCATCAGCTGCCACGGACACACAGGTGTCATATTCAGTGTCACTGTCCTTGATTGAGTGCTTTCATCTACAGGAACATGTGTCAGATCTAATAAACCGTTTTTGATTGAGATTGTTACAATCATATAGATTGATCCAGGATAAACCATTGTTTGTTTTAGTCTTTCCATACAATTCTAAGAAACACCTACAGTTGTATAGTTGTATATCTTGGTATCAGTTTAAGACTGCAATATCTACCAAGCTTTATTATGATATGATGGTATTGTTTAAATTGTTCTGCTATTCATTTTACTAATATATGTTTACATGCGATTGTTAGCGAGTAACCACTCACGACTTTATAGTATTTTAAAGTACATTTGTATGTGTATATAGTGCTTCTCCATTATAAAGTTTTGAGTAAAGGGAGATCACTCTGTAAATCTTATACTGTCTATATGTTTTAAAAGCGATAATCAATTTCATATATCCACTGGGTTATGCATCACGATAATTTGAGCTTCCGCTTTTTTGGTCAAAACGTAATGAATCAATGACACGAATCAATGGTGTAACGGAAGTATAACATCTGACTTTATTAACTGACTGACTGACTGACTGAGTTTGGTTTTATTCCGCTTTTAGCAATATTCCAGCACCATCACGGCGGGGGACACCAGAAATGGGCTTCACACATTATACCCATGTGGGGATTTGAACTCGGTCTTCGGCGTGACGAGCCAACGCTTTAACCACTAGGCTACCCCGCCGCCCCGACTTTATTGACACCGAGTTGGGGTGTCATATGAATCCAGGCACTTCAACGTTCACATACCAAATTGGGAGCCGTTTTCCCAACGATGGCGTTCGAACCTTCTGATCTGAAGTCGAACACCTTGCCCACATGACCAAAAGACGTAACAGTACTACTGGTCAGCACTGATCTTCATGCTTGTGGTAAAAGGTGACTGACGGATCGGGTGGTCAGGCTCGCTGGCGTGGTTGAGGGATGTAACTGTATCCTATTTGCGTAGATCGGTGCTCATGATGTCCATCACTGGATTGTCTGGTCCAGACTCGATTATTTACAGACCGCCGCCATATAGCTGGGATATTGCTGAGTGCGGCGTAAAACTAAACTCACTCATTCACTCACTAGATTCGATTATCTAAATACATATAACAAGGCTGGAAATAACCCATTGCCCGACGCCCGAGTCCAGTGTTTTTTTTTCTGTCGGGCAAGCAAATTTGTATATCACACTGTACCGGTGTCCAGTTGATACTCCAATGTTAATTATGTTGTTTATTTAAAAAATCAACAAGAAAACGGCCGGTAAAGTGGAAAAATTATCAGGGCAAGTAATTTTACATGTGCCACTGTACCGGAGTACACTAGCAATTTTAAAGTTATTTCCACCCCTGAATATAGCTGGAATATTGATTGAATGTGACGTTAATCATCAAACCATATAACAGAACACTATAGTATTTGTGGAATGTCAATTTATTAATCATACGGTTCTGAAAATATGACTTCAATATAATTTTCATGGTTGATGTTTGGGGGTTTGGTTTTGCTATGTATATTATTAAAAACAAACACTGAACAAAATAATAACATTAAACAAATATTCAAAAAGCATACATAACAAACAGCGGCAATGAGCTTTGTTTGTGAAATCTCTCATAAATTAATGTACAAACATAAATCAAACTGTACAATATACAGTGAATACAGAATATACAAAAATATATACAAAACAATATCTTTAATACAGGTGTTCGTTGAGACAGCAATTCTGGTATGTAAGCCCAACAGCTAAGGCTTAGGGCGGTGGGGGTAGCCTAGTGGTTAAAGCGTTCGCTCGTCACGCCGAAGGCCGGGTTCGATTCCCCACATGGGTACAACTTGTGAAGCCCATTTCTGGTGTCCCCCGCCGTGATATTGCTGGAATATTGCTAAAAACGGCGTAAACCATACTCAGCCAGCCAGCTGAGGCTTAATATCCTTAATTGATGCCTTCACAGCCATTTCTTTTCTTTTTCTCGCATGCCTTAACGCTTGTAGCAATCACAAATCAGCTTATTGTTATTCATTTGACATATTGTTCCTTAACAAAAATCACGGTTTTGAATTAATACATATAATAAAAACAAATCAGGAACTGGATCATCAGTTAGCTAAAGATTTGATATAAGATAAAATCTAAACAGAACGCAACCACGAAACAAATCATAAAATGTAACAAGAATGTTAAAGAATAATTACTTTAGTAATTAGCATGTCAAATTTGCACAGGACCTTTTGCGCTAATGTCAAGGTAGCTTTGGAGAAAGTAGACGTATCTACCAATACGCTTTAACATTGGAACATGGATATAAAGGATAAGATAGGTTCGTGAAAGATGCAGATGGCATGCCCGGCTCTCAGGTCAAGAACTCCTGGGTAATAAGCACTCGACTTTCACAGTGAGTCCCTTATGAAAACGCATCAGGTGAAATTTGTGATTAACACCATGCTATTTGTTTGGAGGGAGCAGTATTATTTAGCTGTCTAGTTGTGGGCATAATGTAACAGTTGTATTATCACTTTGTAAATATATAATTCTTCAGAAGTATCTGACGTACTGCGGGCAAATCATCCATTTTCGATGCATTGTGTAAAGTGTCCGGACATTACCGAAGTGCGCCGAGTGTTCTATGTTTAGTAGCATATAAGTTCCTCCTTCCGTTTTCTTCGGTTGTCACTGTAAAACTTGTGTTCCATCTTTTGCATTGTATGGCCGACCTCTGAGGCAATACGGTTGCCATAGTTACCGGAATTCGTGTTAGGTATTTCATCGGAAAAGATGGTTAGATTTTCGGGAGTCTCTTCCTTTTCTTTTTGCTGACCCTGTTTAAAATAAACAACAATATTATAATATTTTTTTAAAACGCGACGATGCCATTATTTGTTTAATTTTTTGTTTTGTTCAACGTCTCACTCCAACAATATGAAGGAGGCTTGAAATAACTGAGGTTGGATTAATCAGTCCAGTCGATCCACCGTCGGAGAAAGAGTGAGATTGTATTAAAATTCAGTCTAAGTAAACTTAGGCTCGGTATTATAACGAATTATATATATATAATAACGAATAATACTGAGCCTAAGTTTACTCAGACTGATTAAAATTTATCGGCAATGTTTCAGCCATATAGCGACGAATGTCGGGAAACGATGACATGGCGACAGGCAAGTCACCGGGCCTGATGAGCTGGTACATTTCGTGGCCTCTTTCGACCAGCAAAGGCGTGCTAAAGCTTTTCGTGGGAGGAAATCCCGAAGTGATCCAGCTCTTGGTTTCGAACCCAGGATCATAGGTTACTGGCACGCCAAAGGGACACAACTCTGCATAGCGAATTGAGGCATCCCAGACAACGCACTGTAGTACCCTACAATGTACACGTAGTACCCTACAATGTACACTATCATCGCCTGAATAACATAAACATTTGTTTATCCTAAAAGCGTATTTGTTTACAAGATTTGAATGTTTCCATTATAATCAGTCACTTTATATATATATATATGAGATATATATAAGCATAATTTACTTGAGATAGTAACCACCATATATATTTAACAAATGATATTTATGTTAGAAATATACTCATGCCAAGAATGGTTGTTACCCCCTTCATTTTTTTTAATTGGAGAGGGTGTGAGTGTGTGTGTGGGGGTGGGGTGGGGAGGGGTGGGTGACAACCATTATTGGCATGAGTATATATATATATGGAAGTTTGAGAAACCCATTCTCATACCATTGTTTCAAATCATTATGTGACGGATTTGTGGCTAGGATAACTTACCTTAGCATCGAATTCGGTGAGGAAACCCCAGTTGTCTTCCCTGAAACACAAAAGGAACCAATACAATCAAATATGTGGTAACTCTTACAAGGTAAACCAGAAGCTGGGGGGGGGGGGGAGAATGGATTATCTGCCCTTTGGCGGTGGACTTAAAACGTCATTTTACGACCGACTGATAATCCGTAATTACAAGCTGCGTGTAGATAAGAATATTTTCTACATATTTCCTGTTCTCTCTTCCCAAAGTATGTAGAAAAATGTGGTCTTCACATTCGCGAGTTGGAAGTCAGTTATAATGCTTGGTCGTTACAGTCAACTACGTTTATAGAGGGAAAGAGAGAGATAAATTATTTTATTATTGTGTCACGTAGATGTTAACATAATATATAAGATCTTCTGTATCACATCTGAAACATCTGCCCGGCCTTTACAGGCGTACGAGACACATAAAATCCATAAAACAATGCATAGATAAAATATATGTCTATACACACATAGTAAAACTTAGAACAAAGGTGGGTGGTGTAATAGCATACGCTATAATAATTTTCTTCTTTTAAACATAAGTAACACTGAAGCAGCTAAGGGATATACTAGGTTATCACATTCCATAATAAAGATGGTCTGGTCAACAGGAGTCATCAAGTTAAACAGAGGGTTAAGGGAGCGTGCCTTTTGCAATAAAACTGACCTTATATCGGAAAATATACTACATTTCGATAGAAAATGGACCTCGTCTTCAACTGCACTATTGTGATCAAGTGACCAGGACCCCAAAACAGTTCGTTACATCCATTAGTTCGTTATAAGCGTGTTCGGTATAAACAGAGTTTACAGTACACCGATATTTGTGTCCCTGGGGGTAATAGCTTGGGGATATTCAAAGAGCTTCCCGTGGGGAACATTTGTAGTGTAAATAAATTAAGGGAAAAATCGTTACTGTATTGTCTTAATACCACAGGGGCGTGTCACGCTTAGAAACAGCGTTAGAAAGACATATACGTATATAGACCCTACCCTAGTACTATATAACTTACAAACAGCGTTAGAAAGACATATAGGTATATAGACCCTACCCTAGTACTATATAACTTAGAAACAGCGTTAGAAAGACATATAGGTATATAGACCCTACCCTAGTACTATATAACTTACAAACAGCGTTAGAAAGACATATAGGTATATAGACCCTACCCTAGTACTATATAACTTACAAACAGCGTTAGAAAGACATATAGGTATATAGACCCTACCCTAGTACTATATAACTTACAAACAGCGTTAGAAAGACATATAGGTATATAGACCCTACCCTAGTACTATATAACTTACAAACAGCGTTAGAAAGACATATAGGTATATAGACCCTACCCTAGTACTATATAACTTACAAACAGCGTTAGAAAGACATATAGGTATATAGACCCTACCATAATAAAGATGGTCTGGTCAACAGGAGTCATCAAGCTAAACAGAGGGTTAAGGGAGCGTGCCTTTTGCCATAAAACTCACCTTATATCGGAAAATATACTATATTTCGATAGAAAATGGACCTCGTCTTCAACTGCACTATTGTGATCAAGTGACCAGGACCCCAAAACAGTTCGTTACATCCAGTAGTTCGTTATAAGCGTGGTCGGTATAAACAGTTTACAGTACACCGATATTTGTGTCCCTGGGGGTAATAGCTTGGGGATATTTATATTTAAAGAGCTTCCCGTGGGGAACATTTGTAGTGTAAATAATTTAAGGGAAAAAATCGTTGCTGCATTGTCTTAATACCACAGGGGCGTGTCACGCTTAGAAACAGCGTTAGAAAGACATATAGGTATATAGACCCTACCCTAGTACTATATAACTTCGAAACAGCGTTAGAAAGATATATAGGTATATAGACCCTACCCTAGTACTATATAACTTAGAAACAGCGTTAGAAAGACATATAGGTATATAGACCCTACCCTAGTACTATATAACTTAGAAACAGCGTTAGAAAGACATATAGGTATATAGATCCTACCCTAGTACTATATAACTTAGAAACAGCGTTAGAAAGACATATAGGTATATAGACCCTACCCTAGTACTATATAACCTAGAAACAGCGTTAGAAAGTATAGGTATATAGACCCTACCCTAGTACAATATAAAAGGATATAGTAGGGTCTATATACCTATATGTCTTTCTAACGATGTTTCTAAGCGTGGCACGCCCATGTGTTAACACAACAGACATGTTTCACGACAACACTAAACTTGCACCAGTAGTATTGGACATATTTCTATCGGGGTCTATAAACAGTCCAGTCATGAACTGCAACTGTCGTAATCGCTGAATTAGTTGATCTAACTGGGATCACACGTCTGTGCATGCATGCAAACACGCACCTTTACTTACGCTGCGGAGAGTACAAGTACATGTATATAAGGAGTCTCAAGATTGTTTACGTTCGTGATACAAAACTTACGATTGTCCAGACAAACCCTTATTATACAGCATTGATGTGTACGCGTATAAATGTTGCTATCACTTGCCCATATCTCCTTTAGTGTTGCCATCGAGGCGTCATTCAAAGCCCGTTTTATTACCTCACATTAAGAGGTATATATTATCGTTCTATTTCTATCACTTTTTTTCTACAAATATGTCCCAACTGGTGTCGTGTGCAGAAAGGGCTTTCATTGTGACGTATGAACGTCACGTGATACTTTCGTCACGTGATACTTTTTGTGGCTCAAAGTACTTTTATCGAGTGACTGTGAATGCAGAAATTACCTAAATAATTTGAAATAATGCTCTAGTTTCATTCACGTCTTAAAACGTCAAATTCTTTTATAGAGTCTTTGAGCGGCATTTTGAAGTGATGCACTTCACCTAATGAAGGAGTACGACCATACAGCGAAACGTGTTCCTCAATATATAGAAATTCCCATACAGCGGGTTGGAATCGCCTGAAACCCCCATTGGCTCCACCAACGCAAAATAAATCTTAAATGTGATCTTAAGTCATTTTCAAAAGAACACCCCCCTCCCCCCCTCTCTCTCTGGATCCGCCAATGACTGAGATTGTAGTGAGTGAGTGAGTATTGCTTAACATCTCTTTCAGCAACATTCCAGCAACATCACGGCGAGGGACGCCATAAATTGGCTTCACACATTGTGCCCATATGGGGAACCGAACCTGGCTTTTCAGCGTGACGAGCGAACGCTTTAACCACTAGGCTACCCCAACGCCCCTACTGAGATCGTAAACGAATCGCAAAATATTCTAATAGTATCAATTAAAGTAAAAAATTCTACTGACCAGTTTTTGAGACATCGTTTCTCAGACACGACGCCCTCCTTCCAGATGGTGTCCTGCGTCACCTTGTCACACTTGCGGAAGTCACCCTCGCTGAAGTTGCGGGTAGTGGATGCAGGTTTAGCCAGCAGCTTGTCCTTTGGGATACAGCTGTCATGGTAGGCGCTGCGAGGACGAGAAGAAGGTATATGGTAACGACCTGGGACAACGAGAGAGGGGTTGGAGTTGAACATGGAGCTGAGCTGAGCTGAGCTGGATCACTGAACCTTCGGTGTTAGTGTTCAGTATAAACGAAAACGCTGATCTGTTCTGTTCTGATCTGTTCTGTTCTGTTCTATCCTGATCTGGTACTGTTCCTAAGACTTCAATCGTGTATATTTTCTTGTTATACCTTTCTTGATATAAATTCCTGATTCACAATGATTTTCTTCTAAGAATTCGTTGTACAGTTGATTTTCTGCATATTTATATAAGTATGTCGTTTAAAATCTGGAGTTGTGACTATGAATTTTTGCCACCATATAGTCCATGCACACAAATAAAATATTATTAATTTTCCAAAGCTGGCGTGACAGCAGCAGATCGCCTCGACCAGTTGTGTCTTGGTTTGCACATTTATAGACTGGTTAGTTGCCAGAGATTTGCGGCCTCAGATACATTGATTTCCGTCTAACGGTTGACACTGATCGACTGTCTCTTGTAAATCCGTGGCAGTCCCTACAGACCACTTTCCTTGTCTTTACATATGTATTCCGAAATGTATCTGTGACTAAGTCCTGTCTGGACTTTTGTCCTGTATCGTTTACTGTGGTTGTTATCTGACTTCACGCTTCGTTGACGCCGTTATGTTGCAAACAATCATTGACAGCGAGGCGGCTGTCACTGGGGTCATGACGTGACCTGTTACCTTTCACCTGCTTGACAATACCAACGCGACTGCAATGCGAAACGGGTAACAAACACGTTGTCAAAAATTAAATTATTTATCACATAGTATTAAGTTATTTAATTGTTTGCGTAAGTGTTTTCAGCAGTGTGCACGTTGAAATTGAAATAAATAATTCCCAGTTTCCGCTTACGTCATAGTTTACACGTTGCCAATGACAACCCACGCGGCTTGTGTACTGAGAGGGCAACAATCAACGATTGTCGATTGATTGTTGAGGTCATTGCACGCGGATAATGATAAGTTGTTTCAAAAGAGGATTGCTGCGGGCGTGTGACAGCATTTGCGGGTCAAATCTGTCTGATAGCAAAACTTACTTGATCGATAAAACTGGTAACACGAGCGTCTTGTTTCACAGTGTAAAGTACAATCGTGAGCGTCAACATACTGGAGGAAGACATGAGAATTACACTGCTGAATGAAAGAGCACCACATCACATTTAAAATTACAAATTAAATGTTTTCATTTCATCAGTTATTTTTTTAAAGTAACTTCTTTTATATATGTTATTATACCTTGTATATAGTGCTAAGACCCCGGAAGTGACAATATCTATACCTTGGTGCTATTTCTGCGTCACAAGCCCCTGTGATTTAAACTACTTGAAAAATTTAAATGAAAGTAAAAATTATTTGTTAATGTGTGAGCTAGATGAATGTAAAATGACCGGGAAACTAAGAGTTGATTTGTATTGAACATATCTTGATTAACAGAGAACTACATGGCAACAAATGTCCATTGTTTCGCAGCATGGCGGTATGTGAGTGCAGTTTTACGTCTTAAAAACTTTGGGTGTTTTTTGAGTGGGTATAGTTGAAACCAAAATATTTCTATAACGATTATCAATAATTGAAATGTAAATATTATACTATACGAGACTACGAGTATATATCAAATCCCATCAAGACGATTTGATCACCAATACACGTGCTTAGTCTCAGACATTTACTCTGGTAAAATATGTATTTCAAACACTTAAACACTTTTACGTATTTGATAATACAGGATTTGATTGTTTCAACAAATCAATGTTCATGCCACATTCCATGCAATAAGAGCAAAACACTTTTTTAGCAACCATATACATGTACGTTTATCAAAAACATTTAAGTTATTCCAGTAGCGACACTCTGATTCAAACATCGATTATTCTTGTAAAGATTGCCGGACTTTCGAACTCACCCTTTATCATGAATATTTATTCTTAGAAGTTTGGCTCCTTAATACTCTTGTAGGTATTATGCGTGAGTGTCATTTAAGTCCCATGAGTCGGTAATATTATCGAGTTCTTAAAACAGTCGTGTTAAATTTCGACGTTTGTATTCATTTCAAGAATAAGCCTATCTTACATTTAGATATGTTTTTTGTGCTTCCAAGTGATAATAGTTGTATTTATGTCGATGTTATACCGATTTCTACCATGCCTTCAGTAAATACTGGATTGTGATTGGTTAATCAAAGTCACGTTATATACCTCTGATTTTCCATCACAGTATATATATTTTTTTAATTTTAATAACACGGTTATGGTAGAATGGAGATAAACGTACTGTGTTGGAAATCAGAGGTATATAAGATATCATAATAGCTCTAAATTTTGTATTTAAAATTTAAATCAAATTTAGAGCTATTATAATTTCGTTATATACCTCTAATTTTCCAACACAGTATGTATATCTCCTAAATCACACACATCACGAATTCGAAGCACAGTTGAATACATAAATATATTTTGAAGCCGTAGACAGTGTTGACCTGCACAGTATATATACTCATGCCAATAATGGTTGTCACCCCCTTGAAATGTTTTAATTGGAGGGGTGGGGGTGTGAGGTGTGGGGTTGGGGTGGGGGTTGGGTGGGGTGGAGGGGTGACAACCATTATTGGCATGAGTATATTTTTCGGAGCAGATGCTGTTTCACTTTAACAAGCAAGTTGAAATAATTTTCAAAGTTATATCTGCCAGTAATCGACGTCCAAATGGTATACATGTAATGATTTGGTAGTGTGTGTGTGTGTGTGTGTGTGTGTGTGTGTGTGTGTGTGTGTGTGTGTGTGTGTGTGTTTTTTTTGTTTGTTTGTTTGTTTGTTTTTTTTGTTGTTTGTTTTGTTTGTGTGTGTGTGTGTGTGTGTGTGTGTGTGTGTGGTTTTTTTTCCGTTGTCTGTTCTTCGAACAAAATTACCTATTTCTTACAGAAAGGTTTGTGAACGAGATGGATATACCAGTTCATTTCTAAATTCGACTGTGTTCTAGGCGATAACTTGATACATGAGGTACTGGTGCAAGTCTGCGTGAGTCTACAGCATGTATGGGACACCTGTAATTTATAACCCAGGCCCGAGTGTGTGACTGTAGCTAATGTTAGTGCAAGGGCCCTATCTGCAGACAATAAAGACATATACTTGAGTCCGTCGAAGCCCCTTGCCTGGTTGTAAACGTGTTGGCAGTATTGTATAGGAGGTTTAGAGATGTGAACAGTGACAGTGTTACGACGTATTACATACAGTTTGATTTCATTGATCGCTGAGAGTAGCTTGTATCGCGATGGTGAGATTTACAATCTAGTGGTTTATGTGAGCCGGTACCCCGTATCCCACCCTGACACCAATCATCCCGGCCCCAGAAACTCTTGGCCGCTGTCCGCAACGTATTTGACATGTATTCAAAATAAACAAAAATAGAAATAACTAGATTGTCATAATTGTTTTGAGATTTACAAAATGTAGCAGGTTTATGGTAACACCCCAAGTTTTAGTGTAGAGGATTAGTCTTTCAATAATATTATTCCAGATGGAATAACGATTATTTTGCAGTTATAAAATTATCACATGCTGATATTTATCACCAAAGTCATGTTGTTACGTCATGAACGCACCCAATCCCTTCGTTCCGTTTGCGTCGCTGTCTGTTTCATATTGTAATAAATAAAATTCCCATTTTTAAATGTTTCCCGACTCAACCTTTCCTGGAAATCAGACTATTTTCAAAGGATTCCTTTACATCAGAAGAAAAAATATGTTTTGTCTGTAATCTCAGTTAGCAAATTCACCATCCCTCGCTGCATTAGTGTAGCTATCTGACTCCACCCTATATTAAATTCCTGTAACACCACACATTATTTTCTGAAGCGATACCTTTACATTATATGCGAACATCTGCAAGACCTAAAAGTGTGTATACTCTGTGTTCATTATAGCATGGCAATGACATTTTACCTATCATCAACATATGATGCAACCGTGTGATGATGATTGCAGTATTGCGTACTGCAAATGACAATGACGTCATAATACATGGTTGACGTCATGTTTTATGGCGTCACAATTGTAATGACGTCATGTTACGCTTTTAACTCCCTGCACGGTCTTAATAGAGACACCGCTTTTAAAAGCTTATTAGTTTTGAAAATAGAAAATATGATTACATACGTGAGATCATGCGATTGATTTATGGAAACTTATGTCAGAATTCATGTATTTCCCTCTACCTGGCAGGAGAAATTCTTATATGTATATATATTTATGTATATCTAAAATAGACACAATTGTTAACACTGCAAGTAAAATCGCTGGAGTCAGATTTGAATGTTTATCAGCAATATATGAGCGGCAAATCGTGAATCAAGCTGTCAAAATTATATCTGACCGTACTCACAACTTAAATTCGGAATGCAACATCCTCCCTTCAGGCCGCCGCTACAACGTGCCAATTGTGAAAACTAAGAGAGCCCGTACATCCTTTATTCCAAGTACCATATCTCTCTTAAACAAATGTGAAGATACCTAAATCAATGAATTTATGTAAATATGTTTTGTATCTCTCTGATGTGTCAGTAGCTCTGCTGATGTAACACAAATTCCTGAAAAGGCATTAAAGTATAACTATATTCTATTCTATTTATCAAGATCAGTTATTTGGCGGCGGTCTGTAAATAATCGAATCTGGTCAAGACAATCCAGTGATCAACAGCATTAGCATCGATCTACGCAACTGGGAACCGATGACACGTGTCAACCAAGTCAGCGAGGCTGACCACCCGATCCCGTTAGTCACCTCTAACGACAAGCATGGTTTACTGAACTTCAATTCTAACACGGATCTTCACGGGTTCAAAGGAAGGAAGTGTTGAAGTTTTCTGGTGTGACCAAGTACGAATAGCTCATATATACTTCTGCTTTAGACAGACACTTGTGTTATTCGTGTTGTATTGGGAAATG